ACCATCTGCTTCCTTTTTAGTGACCGAATATTTCCCTGTGTATAAATAAATAAACAAACACCCCCACAACATTTTCTTTACCCATGCATCCATCCATAGGACTACCGTTGATTCTACAAACTGGCTACGGGGACTGTGCTGCAAAAAACACAGGAGTGATTGCTTTCCGCAGGCCATAAACAGGGAGCTGGATGGAAGCGGAGCAGCCAGGACATGAACTGGCACCCAAAAGGGATGGAAGCACTTGCATGCCATCCTGCTGGGCCCCAAGGATTTTATTTTTAGCTTCTGCAGGAACCTACAAACTGCCTTCCCGTATGTAGCTGTACTGACCCACGTCCCTGCCAGGCGTGTACACGTGTCCCCTGTATGCCCTCACACTCCCTGTACTGACCCACGTCCCTGCCAGGTGTGTACACGTGTCCCCTGTACCCCCTCACCCCTCACACTCCCTGTACTGACGCACGTCCCTGCCAGCGTGCACACGTGTCCCCTGCACCCCCTCACACTGCCTGTACTGACCCACGTCCCTGCCAGGTGTGTACACGTGTCCCCTGGACCCCCTCACACTGCCTGTACTGACGCACGTCACTGCCAGGTGTGTACACGTGTCCCTTGTACCCCCTCACACTCCCTGTACTGACGCACGTCCCTGCCAGCGTGCACACGTGTCCCCTGCACCCCCTCACACTCCCTGTACTGACCCACGTCCCTGCCAGGTGTGCACACGTGTCCCCTGCACCCCCACACTCCCTGTACTGACCCACGTCCCTGCCAGGTGTGTACACGTGTCCCCTGCACCCCCTCACACTGCCTGTACTGACGCACGTCCCTGCCAGGTGTGTACACGTGTGCCCTGCACCCCCTCACACTGCCTGTACTGACGCACGTCCCTGCCAGGTGTGTATACGTGTCCCCTGCACCCCCTCACACTGCCTGTACTGACGACGTCACTGCCAGGTGTGTACATGTGTCCCCTGTATCCCCTCACACTGCCTGTACTGACGCACGTCCCTGCCAGCGTGCACACGTGTCCCCTCTACCCCCACACTCCCTGTACTAACCCACGTCACTGCCAGCGTGCACACGTGTCCCCTGCACCCCCTCACACTGCCTGTACTGACGCACGTCCCTGCCAGCGTGCACACGTGTCCCCTGCACCCCCTCACACTGTCTGTACTGACCCACGTCCCTGCCAGGTGTGTACACGTGTCCCCTGCACCCCCTCACACTGCCTGTACTGACGCACATCCCTGCCAGCGTGCACACGTGTCCCCTGCACCCCCTCACACTGCCTGTACTGACGCACGTCCCTGCCAGCGTGCACACGTGTCCCCTGCACCCCCTCACACTGCCTGTACTGACGCACGTCCCTGCCAGCGTGCACACGTGTCCCCTGCACCCCCTCACACTGCCTGTACTGACGCACGTCCCTGCCAGCGTGCACACGTGTCCCCTGCACCCCCTCACACTGCCTGTACTGACGCACGTCCCTGCCAGCGTGCACACGTGTCCCCTGCACCCCTCACACTGCCTGTACTGACGCACGTCCCTGCCAGCGTGCACACGTGTCCCCCTGTACTCCCTCGCCCCTCACACTGTCTGTGTCCTGCTGTGACCCCCCCCCCGAAGGCTCACTTGGTTTTGATTTGCATTTTTTTACTCATAGGCAGTGATCTCTAGTTCTTTGTCTTTTTTTAAAAAAGATTTATTTTATTCTCATTGGAAAGGCGGATATACAGAGAGGAGGAGAGACAGAGAGGAAGATCTTCCGACCAATGATTCACTCCCCAAGTGAGCGCAACAGCAGATGCTATGCCGATCTGAAGCCAGGAGCCTCTTCTGGGTCTCCCACATAGGTGCAGGGTCCCAGGGCTTTGGGCCGTCCTGGACTGCCTTCCCGGGCCACAGGCAGGGAGCTGGAAGGGAAGCGGAGCCGCCGGGATTAGAACCGGCGCCCACATGGGATCCCGGGCATGCAAGGTGAGGACCTTAACCACTGCGCCATCACACTGGGCCCTAGTTCTTCGTCTTAAACACAAATCTGATAGAAATGCAAGCAGTCACTTCCGCAGCAGGCAGAAATCCACCCTGTCTGAAGAGCTCCAAGGCTGACCAGCCTGAAGCACTGGCACTGGCTCTGCCACACACTGGCTGGTAGCTGGGCCCTGCCACAGCTCAGAGCTCTGCGTCCCTCGTCCGGGCTCACCTTCGGTGTCCTAGAGGGTGGCAGTGCAGGACACGACAGGCTCCCTACTAAACCAACAGCCACACACAGCTCCACCTCCCCTCCCAGAAGACCCTGGGCTGGATCACAGACCTTGCCACTCTGCAGAGCAGGCACTTGCCACTCCACGGAAGCTTTGAGCCCAGCGATGCAGCTGTGGAAGGCAGTGTGACACTATTTTTGGCTCTCTGCAAGTTTCCGGGGTTTCTGACATGAAGACTAGTATGGGCCTGAGAATGGTTCCAACACTGACTGTGTGGGCTGCCCTCACAGGAACCCTGTCAAACCCCAAGTGCATGAAGGCGGGGAGGGAATCAGAGGAACAGCACGAGAAAGGGGGGGTATATTCAGCCTCTGGGACTGCCCCGGGGGCCGAGATGCACCCCTCACCGGAACACACAGTGGCACTATTCCTGGTCTCTTCCGCAATGAATCCACAAGCTGAACACGCACAATTCCCTGCCTTCCCTTCCTCACTGGCTCCTGCAGCTTCTCATTTGCTTCTTTAACAGGAACAACTAAACAATGACTGAAACATCAACCACGAGGAGCGGGAAGTGTGTATGCTCCTCACACAGCAAAAGCTGTTTGAAGTTTGACAAACTTAACTCTGAGTCCTCTAGTTTAACCTGGACTGCTGGCAAAGTCATTCCAGAAACAAGCAACAGTTTTTATATACTTTATAAAATTGTATTACACATGGAGGGAACTAGGTACTAACAGATGAGCAATCCGGGGGGGAAATTTGAACCAAATATTTCAGAAATAACTGATTTAGGACAATGGTGGTAGAACTTCTCAAAAGGTAAATTCAACAAAATGATGAAATAAATACTAGGAATTTGGTGTGCCTGGAAATCAACAGAGAAAATGCTTTTTGTTATAGCAGCCTAAAGTCACCTGCAAACAGTTATTCTGAACTAAGCCCAATTGTGTGGGGCTTTGTTTTTGGGTTTTTTTTTTTTTGAAGCCCAGAAATAAAATGTCCTTTAAAGAATAATTTATGAGTGAAGAGACACTGAGTCCGCAGGAAGCTGGCAGGCCTACTCCACGGGAGAGTCAGAGCCATCCGGGGACTGGATTGGTTCAGCTCTGCCTATCAGGAGGGTTCCGACACTGCACCTGCGGATCCAGAGCAACCGGACAGCAGTGGCCACTGCTGGGCCTCAGCACTCCCTCCTTACACCCTGAGTGCTAGCTGCTGCCCCTGGTCCGCCAGTGAGTGCATCCCGGGTCCCTGGGGCCGGCTCTTGGTACTCTACTGGGGCAAGTTTCCACAGTCCTTGGCACCAAACCTCGACACAAGTATCTCATCATATGAATGAGATGAAGTAAGCATGCTCAACCAGCCTCCTGACGGCGGGCATGGAGGCGGGCATGGAGGCTGCTTTTCAGCCTGAACAACTATAAACCACACTGATTCCCTCCCCCTCCATAGCTGTAGACTTGCACATCAGTGTATTACTTCTTTTTTTTATCCTTTTTTTTTTTTTAAGATTTATTTATTTTTTGGAAAGTCAGAAATACAGAGAGGAAGAGAGACAGAGAGGAAGATGTTCCCTCCGATGATTCACTCCCCAAGTGAGCGCAACGGCTGGTGTTATGCCGATCCAAAGCCAGGATCCAGGAACTTTCTTCCGAGTATCCCACATGGGTGCAGGGTCTCAAGGCTTTGGGCTGTCCTCAACTGCTTTCCCAGGCCACAAGCAGGGAGCTGGATGGGAAGTGGAGCTGCCGGGATCAGAACCGGCACCCATGTGGGATCCCGGCGCGTGCAAGGCGAGGGCCTTAGCTGCTAGACCACGCCGCAGGGCCCCAGTGTATTACTTCTTCAGAGCTGCGTTCAGAGTGGAACTGAGGGCCTGGTGCATGGCCTCGTGACTAAAACCCCCTCACTTTGCACGCACCTAGATCCCATACAGGTGCTGGTCATAATCCTGGTGGCCCTGCTTCCCATCCAGCTCCCTGCTTGTGGCCTGGGAAAGCAGCTGAGGAATGGCCCAGAGCCTTGGGACCCTGCACCTTTGTGGGAGATCCAGAAGAAGTTCCTGGCTCCTAGCTTCAGAACAGCGCAGCTCTGGCCATTGCAGTGACTTGGGAAGTGAATCATCGGATGGAAGATCTTCCTGTCTCTCCTCCTCTTTCTATATATCTGACTTTGCAATAAAAATAGATGAATCTTAAAAAAAAAAAAGAGTGGAACTGCTGCATGAGGATACACATTACTGAACAATGTATCGTCGGCTTGAAAATCGGCAACAAGCTGAACTCTAACTCTTCCCAGCAGCTGCTCAGCATCATGTTGCATCCAGAGCAGGTGGGCATCAACTTGCTGGATTAGGGACCAAACTCAGCAAAGTCTGCACCAACATCCCCAAATCAAGCCAAATCTGAAACACCGGGGGTCCCCGGCACCTAGGACACGAGACACTCAACTTGTACCAACTTCTGCTTGCAAAAGGGCCGCTGTAGGCTGGTTTCCAACACTCGAACACAGCCCTTACCTGGGAAGGTGGAGAGTGGGGCAATGTGATTAGCATTGCACCTGAACACCTGCATGTCACCATGTGGTACACACAGCAGGCCGTTTTATTTTTGAACCTTCAAAAACTCACTGTATCAAGCATGTTGCACGTAACAAAACTTTTTCCTGATTTCTGGAGAACTCTACAGAGCCCCCAGTCAACACCAGACTCTCCCCACGGGCCCTCGGGGGCTTGGGGGACACGCCCTCTCAGTGCTTCGGCAGAAACAGCCACACGCCACCTCCTACCTGAATGTTGTCGAACCTGAGCCCTGGCATGGTGAGGCTCTCCTTGTCCACGAACACTGTGCCGCCCTGTTGGGTGGCCACGGCGGCCAGGACATCTCTGGTGCGCTGGCTGGGAAGCCACGCATCGTTCCTGCGGTCCATCTCGCTCATGCTGAGCGCTGTGGCGAAAGGGTCGTCACTCCCAGCAAACACAGCCTGGATCTGTGAAAACGGTCTCGGGGAGTCGGGCCCGTCCTGCGAGGCCGTGGAGGGCCCCGACTCTGATCTCTCCATCCCCAAAGGATAAGGAGAGTCAGAGGGCCGTGGGGACTTCTCTCCCACTGGGCTGCTCAGTGGAGACAACTTGTCCGGGCCAGAGGAGCCCGCGTGGGGGTTACTGACGGACGTGAAAGTGGACGTGGTGAAGGAGTCAAAGAAGCCAGAGGCTGCTGAGTTCCCGCTCACTGTATCCCCAAAAAACCTGCTCAGGCTGGGGCTGGGGCGCACCGCCTGCGGAGGGGTCTTGGCGGAGGGCTCGCTGGCGCTGCTGAAGCTCGGAGATTTCACCATCTGCGATTCGAAGCCATCTTGCAGGAAGAGCTGCGGCTGGGCGGGCGTGGGGCTTGCCTGGCTAAAGATGGTACATACGGGCACGGGCTCATCTTTGGCGGGCCGGCTGGAAGGTACAGCTGGGGCCGGGGCTGGGGCCTGCTCCTCTGCCCGGGGTGCCAAGACGTCGGCACCTGCATCCTCCAAGACAGGCGTGCCCGCTGCCTCCTCCTGGGTGGGCTCCTCCTTCAGAGAGGCCCTGCTGTCAGAGGTCAGGTCAGAGAGGTCTCTGGGCGTGTCATCTGTGTCTGCCTCGCTACCATCACTCAGGGAGCGCAGCCCTTCGCCAGCAGAGGCCCCAGCCAGGCCGGGCTCCGTGACATCCCGCAGGCAGCCCAGGTCACCGGCGTCATCTTCGCTGTTATTAGGGGAGTCTGAAATGAGGACACTCTCCATCATGTGTTCGTTGAGCTTATCCAGGAAGTGGCTGGAGTCCTCTGAGATGCTCTCGTCTCCGCCCAGATCGATGGTCTCCTCGTGATACAAGAGCGGCCCCTGCTCCGCCTGGGGTGCCTGCGGCCGGACCTTCTCCTCCTCCGCGGACACACTCGGGTCAGCACCTGTGGCACCCTCCATGCTTCCTGCGGCACAGAAAGCAACCTTAGCAGCTGGCCCTCTCGGCCGCCATCAGCCGCACAGTTACCAGTGTCTGGCTCAGTGTGGCACACCCACGGTGCTGGGCAGGCACAGCCGTCACACCACCACCCGCAGGCTCCCGAACACTTCTCTGGAGAAACATCTAGTTGACTCCCCTTGAACAACTCCCCCTCTAGCCCCCACACGAGCCCCTTTCTCACTAGGCGCCTCCAGTAAGAGACACCACACAGCATGCGTCTTGGCATGGCGGGTGTCCTGCACACACAGCCTTCTCCCCAGGGTGAGTGGGATGACTCCCCTGGACACAGACCATACTGGTTCATCAAGTTACCTGCCCAGACTGGAGTAGGGTGAATCTACGCTCTAGCTAACGTTAACATTACTAACACAAACCCAAATGTACAAACAGCTTAGAAACCCTGCTTCCCGTGCCTCTAGCTATCTGCCCAGGCAGGGATCCAGGGCCAGGTACTTAATTCTATTTGTACACTTCTAGGGGAACCACACGGCTCCCACAGTGGCTGTGCCATGGTCCATTCCCCTAAGGAGCATAAGCCACCAGCGTCTCTAACCCTCTGCTTATTTCAACTCATCTTTTATACACTCTTCCGGTACTGTGCCCTGAAGATTCGGCGGAAGATCCCTTTTCTGCATGCTCTCCCTCCTTCTCCCTGAATTTATAATACGGTCAGCCCAGTTCTGGTCAGGTGTAGCGCACACCCCAGGCAGAAACGGCTGCCGAAGGGGAGACCCGGGCTCCAGCAGAAAGGCCGGGCTGGCACGGGCTGGTGCAGACCACAGCCCACTGGAGGACGTGGAGGGCGAGGGCAGCAGCACGTCCGCAGCTGGGCGCCGGGGACGGCAGGGATCGGAGGAGGGAGAGCCAGCGTCGCTGCCCCGGTGGGGCTCTACAGGGCAGACGCCCCTCGGGAGATGGGGACCCCACCACAGACGCCCATCTCTCTTCCTCCCTGGGAAAGGGCGGCCCGGGCTCCTCACCTGCCATCCCGCCCGCAGAGCTGTGCCTGGGGGTCTGCGGGACACTCACGGTGCTGGGAGAAGGTGACGGGAGTCCGGAAGCAGGGAGAGCACTCAGGGCACCCGCCTCCCAGCGCGCCAGTGCGCCTGCGCGCGCCCACTTCCTCGCATGCCCAGTGCGCACGGTGGCGCCCTTTGACCTCCGGGCCGTACCGGTGGGCGGGGCCTCCAGGAGCCGGGCGGAGGAAGCGGCCGCCTTGCACCTGCTGCTGCGCTCAGGATGAAGGAGCGTCTGTAGCCTGCTGCCTCTGCTGGTCCGCAGCCGCGCTCAGTTCTGAGTCACCCCTGAAACGCTTCCAGGGGGGTGCGTGCGTTCTCAGGTGGGATTGTCCTGGAGCGTCACACACGGTGCCCCCTAACACGGCAAGTTCATGTGTAAGGCTGTGTGTGCACTGACCGGTCCAGTGATCGGCTGCTCGCTTAGCTCTGGCCGCCCCTGGACCTCCCCACTGAGACACAGTAATGGTGAAACAGACCAATCTACAGTCCTACGTTGGCCTCAAAGTGTTCAGGTGAATATGATTCCATGCTTCTCCTTTTAAATCAAAATCTAGAAATGATTCTTTTTTTAAATTATTATTTTGAGGGTATTGTTTTAATCATTAAGCCTCTAAAATGTGAAAGTTTCTTTCTTGTATACATTTTATTTACTGCTAAAAAGCAGCACATAAAGAAATTTATGAAGAGATGGGAATGTTATATAAACACATTAAAAAGTGGTTGCTTAGTGTGAAATTCACTCTGACTCCTGAATACATTCTTCCTGAAACACATACATACACATAAACATTAAGCAGAGGAAGCAGGCGTGTGTAGCATATGTATTCAAACACACTAAGGAATGTCTGCAAGGACAGGTCTCAAACCTTGGGTGTTTCTTTGGGTGATTGAAGTAGTGGAGGTAGGTTGAGAGACACAGACGGGAAGGCACCAGAATACATTTAAAATGTGCACTTTGTTTATTATATATATTTGATTTTTTGGATAATTCACACTTCTGTAGACATGGCTGCTCACATCAAATTTGCCCCTTGCAGTCCCTGAATTTCTTCTTTTTTACTTGAACCTTGATTACGTTGAGTGTGCATCCTGCTTACAAGGTGACATCAGCGGACAGAGGATGCACACTGGCCTAGGCTAAGCACTGATGAATACATACTGGTATCTGCAGTAAAACAGTCAGTACTTGGATCTGAAACATGTAAATATAAAAAGTAGATTCCCTTTTGTGTTTATATATATGCATTTGTGTATACAAATCTGTATATAGGGCCTGGTGGCGTGGCCTAGCAGCTAAAGTCCTTGCCTTGAATGCACCGGGATCCCATATGAGCACCGGTTCTAATCCCGGCAGCTCCACTTCCCATCCAGCTCCCTGCTTGCGGCCTGGGAAAGCAGTTGAGGACGGCCCAAAGCTTTGGGAACCTGCACCCACGTGGGATACCCAGAAGAAGTTCCTGGATCCTGGCTTTGGATCGGCATAGCACCAGCCGTTGCGCTCACTTGGGGATTGAGTCATGAGGGAAGATCCTCCTCTCTGTCTCTCCTCCTCTCTGTATATCTGACTTTCTAATAAATTAATAAATCTTTAAAAAAATCAAATCTGTATATATACATATAAGTACAACAAAATCTAGAAATGATTCTAATGACGTATTTTGAAAGTTATGCTGGTTCTAAAACCAGGCCTTTTGTGCCAGTTTACCAAGTCATGAATGCAGAAACAAACAAAACCAAAAGCAGTTCCTGGAGAGTTAACAGCATTGTACTGCTGAGCCTGCCAGTGGTAAGAGGGCGAGGCAGCCTTATTTCTTGGACAACTTTAGTGTTCTTGTAGTGTGGTAGGCAGCTAACTCAGGGGCACGAGTTTGGAAGCCACCCCTCACCACCTAGGTGTTCCCCCCTGCTCACCTGTGACTCCCACCTGTCACCCGAGAGGAGGTGCTATTGCATTGTTGTGTAACCACTCCCCTCACAAGCCCCTATAAGGAGGGGCTCACTCTCTTGGTTGTGTGCTGCCATAGCTCTGGCAGTCCGACCCTTGGTCTCCCCAGTACCTCCGAGGACAGGTATCCCCTGAGCAAGTCCCAGCCTGTCTACATTCCTCACCCTCTGTTTACTGCTAGGGTGGACAATGGAGATACTTTGTATTTCTGGCTTGTGTGCTGTCAGGAGTTCCAGAGGAGTGAGGCCTAGCAGTGGTGGAGTGTGGAAAGGTGAGTGTCTGCAGCTTTGTGTGTCCAGGTTACTCGCTGCATGTCTCTTAGGATAACTTACGTTGCTGGGGAAGCTGGCACATAGGTCTTTAGTTTAATGGATCGACTTGAGGGTAATGACCATTTGTTCCTCTTGAGGTGACAATTGACTGGATTGCCATATGAACTTGTGATTTGTTACTTCTAGGGGGCCCTGTTATCACCAAGCTTGGCTAATGAAACTCCTTAATAAACCTTAGACATGTCTGGCGTGATCTCACTCACATCCTGTAACATTCTAATCCAAGAATAAGTCTGCTACAACATTCCCTCACAACCACTAGTCCAAACCAGAGTGTGGCCCTTTCTCTCTCCAAGCCTGTGATGGCCACGAGAGAAGGAGAAGCTGCAAAAGCCAGTCTGAAGCGAGCAGAGGGTGAGGGAGAGAAGCTGCCTCCCCTCCATGCTCCAGTGGGGACTCATGGATGCTGAAACAGTATCCAAAGAACCTGCCAGGGGACTGATGAAGGCAGCTTTCCTCAGAGCAGGTGGACTGCCTGAATTCTTCATGTGCTGTTCACAGGCTGACTCTTGTTGGGAGCCAACACACCTCTTGGTTTAAACTGAAGTTGGGCCCGGCGGCGTGACCTAGTGGGTAAAGTCCTCACCTTGAACATGCCAGGATCCCACATGGGCGCTGGTTCTGGTCCCGGCAGCTCCACTTCCCATCCAGCTCTCTGCTTGTGGCCTGGGAAAGCAGTCGAGGAAGGCCCAAGGTTTTGGGACCCTGTATCCACACAGGAGACCCAGAAGAGCATCCGGGCTCTTGGCTTCAGATCAGTGCAGCTCTGACTGTTGCAGCCACTTGGGGAGTGAACCATTGGATGGAAAATTTCCTCTCTGTACATGTGCTTTTCCAATAAAAATAAATAAATCCTTAAATTGTAGCCAAGGTTCACTTACCACCCTGAAAACCCCACAGTGCTTAACCACTATGTTAAATCTACCCCTGCCTACAAAACAAACGATGCACGCTGGTACCGCTGAAGCCTGCGGGGAAAGATGGTGCGTGGCCTTAACAGCCATGTGTGCAGATTCTGCCACCAAAGCAGCCACTGGGAACTGCATCCCACTGCTCACTGCACAGGTCGGTCTGCAGGACTCCCCAGAGACTCCAGTGTGCTCATGGAGGCTTCACTCTGCCAGCAAGGGCCGCACACTGAGCACGAGGGAGCAACCAAAAGCCCATTGGCCCCTCTGGCAGCATGGAGAAGGCAAGGGCAGATGTCAGACTCTGGAGCAAACTGTGTGATGAGGTAATATGTCTGTAATTACTGTCTGTAATATGTATGGGGCGGCATGTGTGTATATGAGGTACTGTGTGTGTGTGTGTGTGTGTGAGTGGGGGTGGGATGTGTCTGTGTGGTACCCATATGTGGGTGGAGGGTGTGTGTCCAAGGAGTGTGATGTGTGTACAGGTTACATGTGTGCTATGTGTGCACATAGTGTGTGGTGGGATGTGTGTGTACAGGGTATGGTGTGTGGAGTGGGATGTGTCTGTATGAGGTATTGTGTGTGCAAGGGGGTGTGGTGTGGTGTGTGTGGTGGGATGTGGCTGCGTGTATAAGGTACTGTGTGTGTACAGGGTGTGTGTGTGTGGTGTGACCCGGAGATCCTGGATGTCTCGGGGCACCGCGGGCTAGCAACTCCGTGCTCTTCGGGATTTCCAGTGGTGTCCTCCCGTCCTCCCAGCCTTCCCGGTCCTCCCGTCCTCCCCGTCCTCCCCGTCCTCCCCGTCCTCCCCGTCCTCCAGGCCCCTGGGATCACTCGGCGGGCCATGCCAGCCGCACTTCCGGGACGCTCGGCCGACGCGCGCAGGCAGTTCCGGGACGTTCCAGCCGCGCCTCCCCGTCGCCCCTCCAGAGCAGAGACCCGGATGGGAGCGCACTGGGCGTGCGCCCGAGCCCGGACCCCGCTGTCATTGGCTGCCGAGCGGGAGCACGTCATGACGTGTGGAGAAAACAGGAAGTGGCCCTCGGGGCGCCGGTGCGGGCCTCCAAGCGGGGAGGAATGAATGGCGGCCCGAGGCTCCGCAGCCAGGCCGGGGCGCGCCGGCTCTAGCCGGGAATAGCCAGTGCTCGGTCGGGGCGGGCCGCCTTCCCGCAGCATGGAGGACGACGCGCCGGTGATCTACGGGCTGGAGTTCCAGGTGGGCCGCCCGAGCCCTCGGCGGCCGGGGTGTGCGTGCAGCGTCCCAGGGCCTCGCAGGGGCTCGGGGCGTCGTTTTTCGGGCGGGCGAGGAGCCTGCGGCCTCGGGCTCCGCTCGGGCTCCGGACGCGGGGCTGTGGGCGCAGGAGCAGATGTTTGCCCCAGGGGCTGACGCTGCCAGTAGGCCCCGGGGTCTGCGTTCCTGCCTCTTGGAGCCTCATGTCGGGGAGGTGTTTGGCTGGCGACCCCCGTGTCGCCTGCATGACATCTTGGAGCTCAGGGTCGGGACTTTTTGTGGATTGAAGGAGGCATCTGGGTGGCCTGCGCTGGCCAGAAGTCCCATTGCTGAAGGCCTGCTTACAATCACCAGATCCCAACTGCCCCCCTTTGCAGAGGAAGCCACCGTCTCCCTGCCTTTTATTTCCTGGATGTGAGCACTCCGACTGGATGCCGTATCACGGGAGACATCAGCGCCCACTGTTAATACTTGTCTTCCTTTAGACTCCTTTTGTAGTTCCATTAGAATTTCTCTAAAACCAGGTTTACAGAGAGACAAGAGAGGGAGAGAAGTCTTCCATACGCTGGTTCACTCCCCAGTGGCTATAATGGCTGGAAGTGAGCCATTTTGAAGCCAGGAGCCAGGAGCCTCTTCTGGGCATCCCACACGGGTGCAGGGTCCCTAGGCTTTGGGCCGTCCTCGACTGCTTTCCCAGGCCACAAGCAGGGAGCTGGATGAGAGGAGGGGCAGCTGGGCCATGCACTGGGCGTGCTGCGGTTGAAGGATTAGCGAGCTGCGCCCAGCACCGGCCTCTCCTGAGCCTGCAGGTGAGCCGAGGCGTGCCTTCCCTGTGCCTGCTGTGTGGTGGGTGTAGCTTCAGGCACTGCAAACACCTGCCGGTGCTGTAGTCATCCCACACACTGGCCCTGGGTTTCTCCTTTTTCTTATCCATGCTCTCATTCCCTTTTCCCCAGAGAAGTGGTTGCTCTGTTAGCTTTTTTAAAGCTCTTCTAAAGCCACGTTTCATCACACAGTTAACTGCGGTGTGCCACGGCTGGTCCCATTCTTACGTTGTCTGCACTTCTGCCTCTCCCCATGCCGCCCTCCGTCGTCGTGCCCGGACCTGGGCCTTTTGGTCACTGGACATTCCCTTGTGTACGTTGTGTGGGTTCTGGGCTTCAGTGGGCCAGCCGTATCGCTCTAGCAGGAATGCTTGCAGCACAGGGCTCTGTCTGTGCGTCCTCCTGTTGTCATCTGGCCTTGCCACAGCACAGCCTCGTGCCTCCTCCATGCAGCCAGTGACGGCTTCTGGTTGGTGCCAGTGACCGCCTGCCCTGCCTTTATGCTTACTAAGTGCCACCGGCCTGCACACTGTCCTGTCCCCTCGTCTGGGCGATGGCATTGCCCCTTGGCCTGCACATGCCCTGGTGGCCTGTTCTGCTGTGACTTGCCGCTCCCTGCACGTTCTCTCACTCATGACTTCTTGACCCTGCCACCTTTCTGCGTATTCTGTGCTTTGGATTAAAGATGGCTCCGAGTTTCCTTCAAGACCGAGTTGGTGTTCTTTTGTTCTCCTCCTTGCTTTGCAGGGTTTCCTAGGGCTGAGAAGAGAGTCTTGGAGTCTCTCGCTGCTCAGGCACAGCCTGGTGCCTGGCCTTGGTACCACAGGTGGCCGCAGCATGTATGAGGGGTGCTGAGTGCAGGTGGGGTGGCTGGCGGAGGCTGGCTGGTAAACTGCTGGCCCCTGGGGCGCAGTGCTGGAAAAGGGTCGGGGGAGTTGAGTGAGGGCTGTTCTCACTGGAGCGCTGTCTTTGGCATGAATGGAACGGGGGAAGGAGTGTCAGAGGGAAGCCGGATAAAGTGAGATTTCTTTTTAAAGTAAACAGGGAGAAGTGAGCATGTTCTGCTGAGTGAGCAGACACCCAGGAGGAGCAGGTGAGTGAGTGTGTGTGTGTGTGTGTGTGTGTGTAAATGTTTAAAGATTCTTTATTTAGCTAGCTCTTACAGGATTTATTTATTTTTATTGGAAAGTCAGATTTTACAGAGAGGAGGAGAGACAGATCTTCCAAACGCTGGTTCACTCTCCAAGTGGCTGCATCGCCGGTGCTGAGCTGATCTGAACCCAGGAGCCAGAAGCTTGCTCCAGGTCTCCAATGCAGGTGCAGGGTCTCAAGGCTTTGGGCGCTTGTCCACTGCTTTCCCAGTCCACAAGCAGGGAGCTAGAAGGGAAGTAGAGCTGCCGGGGTATGAACTGGCGCCCATATGGCATCGCGGTGCATGTGAGGTAAGGACTTAGCTGCTAGGTTACCACGTCAGGCCTGAGGAGCATATTTCAAGAGCAGCCAGAGCTCTTTGGCTGGGAGCTGGACGCGGGGTGATGTCGGGGGACAGCCCCTCTGAGGCTAGGCAGCTGTGGGGGAACCTTTGTAAAGAACCATTGTCTGGGAGCAGTCTGCTCCAACCGGGCAAGTGGCTGGATGCCGTTTGAAACTGGGGGAGTCTGCATGGGCTTTGAGACTGGTACCTGTTTGTGGTCAGGTGTGGCGTTTCTGGCGAGGCTGTCTTGCTGGTTTCCGGACCTCAGCCTTGCTAGTTGCTCTCACGGTGCGGCCCGCCAGTGATAGAGGCAGACATAAGGCTTTCTTTGTGGGAGCCAGGGAAGCACATGGAATGGCAAGGTGGGAAATGGTTCTGACTTGTGCCACACACAGCCTTGGGTTGCAGGCTGGGCTCTGGCTGGCAGTTCCGTGACTGTGTCTGTGTCCCTCTGGCTGTGGGTGTGTTGGGCTAAGGGGGACTGGCTCATCCCTCCTGCCTGCCTGCTGCTTTCAGTGAACTGGAGGTAGACAGCACACAGCAGAAGGAGTATCTGTAACCTGTTTGTTGCAAATTGGATCTTGTTCCCACAAATGGTCTTGAAACACCTGGAAAACTTACCTTTCTGCCTAGACTCAGCTCATTTCCTCATTGCTCAAGCAGAAAACACGATTACAGACATACGCTGAGATCTGTCCCCCAGATGGCCTGAATTCAGTACTTCCTGCAGTAAAGTCCTGGAGGGATTGTGAACTCTGGAGATTTCACGTGTTTGGAAAGGTCCATTTTGGACTTGTGTTTCAGACTGATTGCCCTCTGTCCTCTTGTTTGCTGGACCTCAAGCTCCGCTTTGTACAGCTCTTCGGGGAGGACGTCGTGTCAAGTGCCCGTGCCTGCCTGTTGCTGCAGGGCTGCGCCCCTGGACCCGGCTCGGTGTGTTTGCTCACTGGTTCTGCACTCCTGAATTGCCCTTCTTGGTCAGGGCGATAAAAGCTAATAACATTTGTTTCTTGTGTGTGTTTTCTATTTTGAAGGGACACCTTCTTGGCTGACACTGTGCTCACGGGAGCGTCTTGATGCCTGTGGCTCTGTTGTCACTGTGCAGGATGCCAATGGTTTTGGAATGGAATCGCGCACACCTTTCTCTTACTCTTTCCTTTTTCTTCAGTGCAGGTGGTATTCCTGCAATGAAAGATGGTGTTTTTAATTTACATTTTTCTTATATATGTGTTTTTCAATTAAAAAATTATTTTTGTTGATGTTTACTTAGTTGATCATGGTGGGAGTGGTTGAGGATTAGGTGAAATGGGTGAGAACATGTCTCTAAGTTTTCTTTTTTTCTTTCCCGTATCTGTGGGAAGGGAGAGATCCAGGTAGAAGCCGCACCTGGCCTCCCACCTGCCTTGGTACCTGGGGACGGGACGACGTCATCCCAGAGTCCCCGGTGTGGAGCACGCTCTGAGGGTTCTGCTCAGGTGGTTTTAATAGATCTGAAATACTGTTGATCTCGCCGATCTGAGGATGAGGAAATCCTTCCAAGGTGCGTTGGCTGACATGGTCCATCTTAGAGTCTCCATTTGCCCATGTATTTGCTGTCAATGCTTGGCTGGGATAGTTGACTAATTTGTTCTGCTCTCCTTCCTATGCTGTGCCTTTACCCTCATGAGAGCATGTGTATTTGAGGTCAAGCCTTGAGTCTCACGGGTCTTGGTCAGCTCCGCAGCACCTACTGTGTGCAGCAGGGCTCGGTCAGCCATTCAGTGCTAACGTGAGCATGGTCAGTCCCCAGGAAGCCTTCCCTCTCAGAGGGCTCTGCTGGGCCTCAGCTTTAGGGGCTCATAGGCTTTTCTCCTATGGGGTGACTGTGGGTTCCTGCACTGAGGGTCTCTCGGCCCCATGTGGAGGGGCCTCCCCTGGGTCCTCTCTGCTGACTTAGGTCTCCGCCTGGCAGCTGGGTCCTTGTCCTTTGGGGTGGAGTGTGCCCCTCTCAATCAGGGTGACTTTTTAAAGTTCGGAGGTCAGGGGTCGGAGGTTCTGTGATGTGTGTGCACACTTAGCAGACAACCTCGTGACTGATGAAGAATTCACCTGTGTGTAGAGTTCTAACGGTTGCTGAAGCAGCGTGGGAATGCCAGTGGTGGGCACTGAAGGAGCACCTGGGCCACTTGAGCTGGCTCATGTAGGCGTTTGCCACAGGTACCTGAGAACATGAATACTGCCAGGGCGTACTTGCTGTTTGGACTCCGTCCTGGTGCTGCTGACTGACACAGGGCCGGAGAGCCTGTGTAATCTGTGTGCTCTGGTGTCTTCTGGGAGAGTTGGTGAAATGTTCACCCCTTTCAGTGAACAGCCAGCATAACTCATGTGGAAATCAAATTTCAGATAACAGCTGTTGGACTGTTTCTCTGTTCTGAAAGCAGCGGATTGAGGGGTTAGGACAGAGGCACTTGATGACATCGCCATTAAACATGCTTCTAGCTGCGTGAGGGTCCGGAGGCAGATGGAGCGAGTGGTTCGGCAGGTGGAGGATGAGATGCCTGTTCCCTGTGGCTCCCGCAGCCTCGAGGCAGAAAGGGACACAACTGTGCTGTCTTACAATGTGGGTCTCTGGGCTTAGAATCAGGGTCAAGGTTTGGGGGTCTTCAGGGCAAGCTCCATGTTCCCACTTTCTCCAACTCAGAAGCCCCCACTTCTGGGCTCCAGGACCAGCAGGGTTGCCCAGGGGCTGCCCGAGGCCTTCCCGTGCTGCTGCCTGTCAGGAGCTCTGTGGGTATTCTCTTTCTCTCTGGCCGCAAGCAGGAGAGGGTTTCTGATTCCTTAGCTGCTTCTTTCCTTCCTTTTAAACATTTTTTTAATTGCTTCTCGGCCTTTTGGCTAAGATCAAGTATAGTAAAATTTTTCTTTTTTTAAATATTTATTTATTATTTTTATTGGAAAGTCAGATCTATAGAGAGAAGGAGCGACAGAGAAAGATCTTCCATCCACTGGTTCACTCCCTAAGTGGCCGCAATGGCTGGAGCTGAGCTGATCTGAAGACAGGAGCCAGGAGTTTCCCCCAAGTCTCCCATGCAGGTGCACGGGAGGTCACAGCAGGGAGCAGAAAGGGAGGTGGAGCAGCTGGACATGAGCCGGCGCCCATGTGGGACCTCGGTGCATGACAGGCGAATTCCTCAGCCACTAGGCTACCGTGGGCCCTGGAAGATTGGTTTCTTTGAAAGGCAGAGTGACAGGGAAAAGGAGGAGATTGTCTCTTGATTTACTCTCCAAATGGCCACAGTGGCTGGGGCTGGGCCAGGCAGAAGTCAGGGACCAGGAATTGATTATCACATGTCATGCTGAAGATTGCTTTTGGTCAACGCTGTTGGGCGTTCTGTGCCCCTCCTGGATGTTGTTTCCCAATTCTTTCTCCAGATTAAGGAAACTTTCCTTTATTGTTTTATTAAATGCGGTTGTAATCCCAGCTTCTCTTTCTGCACTTTCTGGAACTCCCATAACTTCTATTTGGCCTCTTAATAGTGTCTTAATTCTTGAATACTTTTTTTAGCTTTATCCAGCTTAGCTTCCAGCTTTTTGATTAATTTACCATTGTGACAAGAAGTATCTTCCAATTCTGAGATTTTTTCTTCTACCTCATTCATTCTGTTACTGGGAATTTTCCACTGGATTTTTAATTTGCTCCATTGTGTCCTTCATTTCCAATAATTCAGCTTGATTTTGTTCAGTGTTGCTATTTCCTGTATAACATGCTCCTTAAATCCTTGAACTCCTGCATGCTGTTGATAAGAAGCTTTATAATGAGTTTTCTGAATTCTCTATCCCCATTTTCTCAGTGTCTTCCTCAGTTAACTTTGAGGTTGGCAACGGCTTTTTCTCCTTTGCAGGAGAGAGTCTAGTAATATTCATTGTGCCTCTGTCTCTTCTTTTGCTCTTGGTCATTGTACTTCTGGTTAGCAGATTCTTCTCCTTGGGGCAGGTTTCTAAGCTGTATTACCCACAGGTCTATAATTTTATTTTACTGATTGTGGTTAGTACACACTTCTTTATAGTCACTTGTGCCACTGAAGCAAGTGGCAATCAGTATAATGCAATGACCTCAGTGACTGGGCTCCTAGCTCAGCACATGCACAGCTCACTGCTGTCCCTGTAGTCTCAAAGCCTTTGCCATCCTGTGAAAAATGGCATCTGATGTGTTACATGTGGAGTTCTTGATCTGCTAGCCATTAGCTCTAGGGGCCACCCGCACCTGTTTTGGGTGGAACCTGTCGAATGCCACATTGGTACAATTCACTGAGCCAGCTTAGTGCATGTGCAGTTCTGTCCCATAGCCTTTGCCTCCCTACACAAAATGATTCAGCTGTAGGGGGTGAGGGGACTGACCCACCTGTTTGGGATCTGCTGCTCTGTCTCTGCTCTGGTCAAATCAAACAGACCAGCAGGCCGGGCAGTTCTTTGTCTGGGCTCACCTCCTGAGCTCCTGATGAATGCCCCTTCCCATCTGGTTGCTGGTTCAGTTCCGGCTGCTGGTGGAGCTTAGATGGCTGCTCGCTGGCTGCCGCTGGTGTATCAGTCACTGCAACACAACACCTTTGTCTCCGCTGCTTTCCCGTGTCTGTCCGTCTCCAGGACCCCTCTGCTGTCAGCCTGTCCTCTCCCGTTTCCTGGAATGTGCCCTCTCTACTCCATCCTGGCTGATGTTTCTCCTGTTTAAACGTGTTCTCACCCTGTCGCGCCATCTTGATTTGACGCATGCACTTAATTCTCCGATTTTCGAGAGTGTGACTGTAGAAATGGCTGTTTGCTGTTGTTGTTGAGGGCTAGGAATTGAATGAAAACTCTAGAATTGTGGGTGTTTTCTTGCTCCTAAGGATCTGTTGCTCTGGCAGGAGGCTTGCTGGCCTGGCAGCATTGGGCTGCTCGAGTCACCTTCCACTCAGAGGACCTGGAGCTTTCCTTGGTTCTGACTCACTGGATTGTGGTTCTCCCTCCTCCTAGGCTGCAGCCCTGTGGGTAAACGTTCTCCTTGGGGTGTCTGCTCCCTGAGCCCCAGGGAGCCTTGTGGCCATGCCATCCCGATGGACAGGGTACTGGGGCCCGAGTGGGGCGTCCTCCCAGCACTTCCCTACTCTCTGCCCTGTGCTGCGACTTTGTCCTCTTGCTGCTTCTCTGAGGCCGTGAGACAGGTGCAGGATGGGACTTGAAGGCCTGCTGCTTTGTTCTGCACGTGAGCTGGTGGAGGCCAAGGTATCACTGCTCTGTGATGTTTCCGGTAAAGAGATGAACCATGGCTATGTATAATTTGTGTACTTGTTGCTTCACTTCTGTGCACAGTTCAGTTTATTTCTGTGTGCAAGTTTGAAGTGGCATTGTGGTGTTAGAACGTGTGGGAGTGTACGTCTTCCTGCGTGCTGCCTGTCTGTGGCTGAGCCTTGGGGTTGTTGAGTGCATGTGCTGAGCGTCTCTTTCTGTCCTTCCTGCAGGCTCGGGCCTTGACACCTCAGACTGCGGAGACGGACGCCATTCGCTTTCTGGTCGGGACACAGTCTCTTAAATATGACAACCAGGTGAGTGTTTTTGACAAATGTACGCATGTTAACTACTACTCCTAGTTTTATCACTCTTTTTTTGTTTTTTAAAGGTTTGGGTTTTTTTATTGTACAGTCAGATCTACAGAAAGAAGAGACAGAGAGGAACATCTTCTGTCCTCTGGTTCACTCCCCTAGTGCCCGCAATGGCTGGAGCTGAGCTGATCCAAAGCCAGGCGCCAGGAACCTCCTCTGGGTCTTCCACATGGGTGCAGGGTCCCCAAGGCTTTGGGCCGTCTGCGACTGCTTTCCCAGGCTACAAGCAGGAAGCTGGATGGGAAGTGGAGAAGCCGGGATACGAACTGGCACCCATATGGGATCCTGGTGTGTGCAAGGCGAGGACTTAACTGTACCAGGCCCATATCACTGTTTTTATGATCTTGATTTTTTTTAAAGCAATATTTAAGAAAAAAATAAAACTATATTCAAAATAAAACTGTAGTCATTGGGTTGAAGCCATCTTCTCAGACACTGGTCCCTGGTTGGGGAGAAAGATGGACATCACTGAGCTTGCTGACTCTCCCGCGCAGTCCCTTCTTTGTGCCCTTGGGCTCATGGCTACCTGGGCACCCGCGGGGCGCTGAGCAGCGGGGGGTGCACAGCCCAGTTGCACTGTCGCTCATGGTTGCCCGCAGTCTCCTCTACTCCCTGCCCCCCAGGCTCCAGGCTGCCCCTGCCCCTTGACCCAGGTGGGCTGATGGGAAGTGACCTAGCTGCTCCCCTGGCCACTGCTGGGGACACACATGCGGTCCTGATGCAGCTCATGGCTTCACTGATCCGTGACCTTGAACAAGTGGTGTGTGAACACTGCCCTGAGGTGCTGTATACACTGTGTGAGGGTGTGTGAACACTGCCCTGAGGTGCTGTATACACTGTGTGAGGGTGTGAACACTGCCCTGAGGTGCTGTATACACTGTGTGAGGGTGTGTGAACACTGCCCTGAGGTGCTGTATACACCTTGCTGGAGAAGATGTGCACAGCCTTTCACACTGGGCCACCTGGCTTATTCCACTTGCGAACATGATATGAGCACATAGTGCGCACAGATGTCCTCTTGTGATATGTCTCTTGCCAACAGCACATTTGCTTCTCCCAGTCCTCTCTACGTTCCTGCCCTTCAGTTCCATCTTCCTGTCTTTCTCGTGCTAGCATTTCACAGCAGTGTATAACAACCTTCTACATGGCAGTGTATATTGCATCTCATAGAGGTGTACACACCATCTCACCAAGGTGTACAAACTGTCTCAGAGCCGTGCTCACACCATCTCACCAAGGTGTACAAACTGTCTCAGAGCCGTGCTCACACCATCTCACCAAGGTGGACATACTACCTCGTGGCAGTGTTCACACACCCTCACACAGTGTATACAGCACCCCAGGGCAGTGTACACACCCTCACACAGTGTATACAGCACCTCAGGGCAGTGTTCATACCCGCTCACAGCAGTGTTCACACTGCACCACCTCACACTGCACCACCTCACAGTGTACCACACTCGCAGCCATGTTCACACCACCTCACAGCAGTGTTCACACCACCTCACAGCTGTGTACACACCATCTCACAGCAGTGAATACACCACCTTACAAGTGTGTATACACCCCCTCATAAGAGTGTAAATCCCATCTCACAGCCATGTTCACATAACCTCACAGTTCACACCATGTGTGTGATCACATGGTCATGTAAGCACAGTCCCTGTCTGCGTGGTCAAAGGGTCATGTGGACGTGGCCCTGTCTCTTTGGTTTGAGGGTCACGTCATTATAGCCCCACATCTGTTGTCAGAGGGCCACCTTAGTTCAGCCCCCGTCTTTGAGCAGGTTTATGGCTGACCCCTCCAGAGTGGGTGAGAGCTTGGTGGAGGGTTGTCTGTTCAAGCCTCGCAAAGGGATTGCTTGGAAAGCAGTCGTTTCATGTCTTCTCAGGCCAGCAGGCGTGGGGAGGCCATGGGAGAGTTTGCTGCATTGGAGGTCCACCTGGTGGGGAGGCTGGAGACTGGCATCCAACGTTTGTCACGCTCAGTGGGCTGAAGGGGCTGGGGTTGGTGCTGGGACACAGCAGGACAGAGGCGGCCTCCAGGCATGGTTGCCACCAGGCGCGTGCTAAGGCAGGTGTGGGTTTCAGAGTGCATCAAGTGCAAGCTGGCTTTCGGTATTAATGGATTTCCTGCTAAGTAGGAAGTGTGTTGATGGTAGAGCAGGGCACTGCTTGCAGTAGAGTCTGTTCTGACTCTGTGTTACTTCTGTCTTTTCCCGTGTGTGATGGCTTCTGTAACGCCAGCCATGTTATAGGCTGTGTTCAAAGTGCAATATTGGAATATTCTCCTGACGTTTGTGGTGGTTGTGATTGCCCTCGATCATAATGTTAAAACTATTCAATATTCCATAGTCTTACTTTTCTGTTTATTGCGGACAGATTTCAAGAAATCAGATTATTGCTGTTTCTACATTTATATGGTTCTGATATGTTCGAATACACCTTCTGGAAGAAGTACACAGAGTATAGTGTGGGCCATTTTAACTGCAGCTTTCCTGGCACTGGCGGGGACTGCTCACGTCAGCCTGGTTCATCAAGCAAAAGCTCATTGACAGCATTCTTAGTTAAGGTTTTAATTTCCTTGATTGTAACAAAAGCTGAATCTCCCCCAGCTGTTGGCTGCTTACATTGTATGGATTTCTGTGTGTGAATGGAGACTTACACTCAGTGCTTAGCCTGGGGTCCAGCTCAGTGCTCTCCCACACTAACACACACACACTCACGCCGCCCAGCAGTGCCACTCTCTCTCCCACACACTCGCAGCTCTGCACACTTGCCTCCCAGCCCCCCAGCAGTACTGCTTTCTCCAAGCCTGAGTCCCGTGCCACTCTGCTCCTGCCCTTCTCCATGCCCCTTGAGCCTCTGCAGAACTTCTTGCAAAGCGTGTCGCAGTGTCTGCTGACCCGAGTCTGACTCTCGCATGTCATGGCGTCTGTGAATCGGCACTTTGTTTTTCATCAATGCACACGTTCCACTTGGTGAACGTGCCACAGTTTATTACCCATTCTGTTGGCTTTTTTAAAGATACGTTTTATTCAACTAAGTTCAGCAAAATCATGCTTCAACACTGTAAACAGCTAAATACAAAAATAAAAATAGACAAGACAGCTGAATAGTAATCTATAGCCATTTTGAGGTGTATGGAATCCGGCTGAATATAAACCAAAAATTGAAATGTCTATGAAGAAGTCACAGGATGTAGTTAAGAACCCGCATTTTCCTATTAACATACTGTTAATCAATACCATATCAATTAATGCCATAAGGTTGTAAATGGTTGTTGATGTTATGTTGGGGCTTTTAATTGATTGGGATGATATTTTGCTGGCTTTACCTTTAGACCAGAGATGGTCTCACCAAGAAATCGTTGAACCCACTAGGATAAGATGCTGGACTTTATGCTTGGTAAATACTTCCAATGAAAGAACCTCAACTGAATTTGAACTGTGGTAATGCAGCAAGGTGGAGAAATCCACTATGGGGAGAGGGTTCGGGGAGGGGTGGGGGGAATCCCAGTGCCCATAACACTGTGTCACATAATGCAATGTAATTTAAAAAAAAAAGATACATTTTATTGTACTGGAAAGGCTGAATGATGGAGAGAAAGGGAGACGGACAGATGTTCATCTGTGCATTCACTCCCCAAATGGCGGCCACAGCTGGGGTTAGGCCAGGATAAAGGCAGGAGCCTGTAGCACCATCAGCTCCTGCCACTTGTCCAGGTGCTCTGGCACTGGAGGAGCTGGGTCTCGTTGTGCGTGGTGCCAGCCCTGATTCTGTCTGCTGCTGGTGGGCGCTGAGGCTGTTCTTTGGGCCAGCCTGGAGAGCTCTGCTGCGAGCTGCTTGTGCCTGCCTTGGTTTGGTTGTGGGCTGCAGGACCTGTGTGCTTTGCCAGGTGCCTTTCTCAGTAACCCGCAGCCCGTGTGAGGTGATTGGTGATTCCCAGTCCGCAGATGTGTCAGTGGTGACATGCCCAGGTCAGGATCTCTGTGTGTGGGACGAGCACTGGCAGCCCCCACTTAGCACGGAGGAGCTGCCATTCTGCTTCTCAGGTGGTTGCCACGGAGGAGCCACCTGCCACCTCCCGGGATCCGCTGTGCAGACTGTAGACAGCTGTGAGCTGAGAGAGGCGGAGCCTCGCCCCGGGGTGGGCACACATGTGTTGGCCTGGGTGCTGCCCCAGCTGGCTCCTCCCACTCAAGGGGTCTTCCTGCTACACATGGAAGTGATGGCTGCGCATCACGCAGCTCGGCCTCGTGAGGATGTTGCCAGGGTGAGAACTCTTGCAGATGAGCCCTCGAAGTCCAGAGCCTCCCGTGCAGGGGGCAGGGGAGCGTCCTCCCGTGTCTCCCCGTGTAAGAGTAGGCTGTGCAGAATGAAGCAGGATGCAGTTGAGGCAGGTGCCTGGAGGTGCTGTTGGCTCCCGTGCAGATGCTCGTTAGAAGGGCAGCTGGTGTAGGCGATGCCAACAACCCAGCAAGGAACCTCAGAAACCCGGGGCCTCCCTGTCCCTGGCAGCCTGCAGACACAAATTGTAAACAGCAGAGTAGTCAGTGCATTCCTTTAGCTTTCTTCAAGCATGTCTGATGGCCATTTCCCATGGCGTTGGAGGCTTCTACAGAGCATGATGCAAGGATAGATTCAAACATTTGGTGAGAGCCCGGCGCGGGGGCTCAGTGGCTAAATCCTTACCTTGCCAGCGCTGGGATCCCATATGGGCACCAGCTTGTATCCCAGATGCTCTAGCTTCCGTCTAGCTTCCTGCTTATGGCCTGGGAAAGTGCTAGAGGATGGCCGAGAGTCTTGGGACCCTGCACCCACGTTGAAGACCTGCAGAAAGCTCCCCATTGCGGCCATCTGGGGAGTGAACCAGTGGATGGAAGATCCTTCCCTCTGTCTCTCCTCTGCATAAATCTGACCTACCTTTCCAACAAAAATAAATAGTTCAAAACAATTTAAAAAAAAGTTAAAAAAAAAACTGGTGAAAATGCAATCAGAAGAGCCATTAAGTTTGGCACTTTTGCAGCCCATGCCTTGCTTGTCTTTTATATTACGCAGTTTGTGAGATGTTTCAAGACTGCAGGCAGGCGCTGCGGGTGGTTGGGAGCGCTCCCGGATGCGGACATCCCTGTGGTCATCAGTGTTATCGCACGCCAGGCTAGACTCTGAGTGCACGTCCAAGACTGTTTACTAAGAGTACACCGGGCTCGGCAGCGTGGCCTAGCGGCTAAAGTCCTCGCCTTGAACGCACCAGGATCCCACATGGGCGCCGGTTCCAATCCTGGCAGCTCCACTTCCCATCCAGCTCCCTGCTTGTGGCCTGGGAAAGCAGTCAAGGATGGCCCAAGGCTTTGGAACCCTGCACCTGTGTGGGAGACCTGGAGAAAGTTCCTGGCTCCTGGCTTTGGATCAGCACAGCTCTGGCCATTGTGGCCACTTGGGGAGTGAACCATCGGTCGAAAAGATCTACCTCTCTATCCTCCTCTCTGTATATTTGATTTTGTAGTAAAAATAAATAAATAAATAAATAAATAATAATAATAATAAAATACTTGCAATAAAAATAAACCTTAAAAAAAAAGAATTATGTTTCCCCATGGGCTCAAATGCCAGTGAGAGATTGAATATGAAAATCATCTTAGTTCCTCTCCAGTTACCCAGAAAAGTATAGCAGTGATGTCCCTCAACCTCCATTGAGTGATCTGAGCTTGGCATTGTTACAAGTAATGCTGTGTGTTGGCACCTGCTGGCAGCTATCAGACTCGTTTAAAAGAGAAGCTAAAAATATGTTGAAAACCTCCCTCCTTCCCACCTGCATGGCTGTGGGGCTGCGTCTGCCCACTGCACAGCCACGCAGGTCACTCCGGGTCCCCCATGGCCAGGCCTCTTCCCGTTCCCACAGCTCCCCAGCAGGGCAGAGGCAGTTCCTGCTGATTCGAGAGCCCTGCCCAGTTGGCACCAGCAGGGGCCTCATCCCGGAGCCACGTGGGGGGCAGGACCGGAGGGTGGCACTACACAGCTGGCGGCTCTGCCAACACTCTGCCTTGCTCTGGAGATGTGCGCTGTCGGGGTGTTCACTGGGGCGTGTCTTTCTTCTGTCGCAGAACCTGTGTCTGTCGCAGAACCTGTGTTTGTGGCAGAACCTGTGTCTGGTGCTCTTTGCAGCTGCGACATTTCAGCAAGGAGATCCTGACAGGCCCTTCTCTTGTGTCTGTAGATCCACATCATAGACTTTGACGATGAAAATAACATCATCAACAAGAACGTCCTCCTCCACCAAGTGGGTGAAATCTGGCACATCAGTGCCAGCCCCGCAGACAAGGGAGTGCTGGCGACTTGCTACAGCAAAAGTAAGTGTCTGGAACCTGCCCCAGTGTCCTGTGAGCTTGGCTCAGTGCGCAAAGAGGAAGGGTCACGGAGAAGGTGCCATGTGTCAGGTGTAGGTACTTGCAGGGTTCGTTGTCGGAACTGTGGCTTCCGGGGTCAGGTGAGTGTCATGCTGAGATTCTACAAAGGTAGTCCCAGGTGACCTGGGAGGAGGGAAAGTGAGGATATGCCTTGTTCCCATGGCCTCTGTGTGTGTGTAGGGAGGCTGTCCCAGCCTGTGCCAACCCCATGCCATGTGCATGTGGCAGGTGGCGATGAGGTAGCCGATAGCTTCTAGCCGTCTGTGATTGGCTGCTCAGCCTTGGACACCTGGATGTTTGGGTCAGTCCCTGAGTTCTACTGGCACTGGGGCAGCCAGAACCTTTTCCTAATGGCTGGCTCTGGGGAGCAGTGTGTCCTGTGTCCGTGCTGAGGCCAAGAGCCACGTAGCTTTGGGTCCGTGGTTTTGAACGCTCCTTTCGAATGTGTCTTCGCACTGTCTTTGCACATCACTCCTTTTTCCTCTAGGCAAAACATTTTTTCTGAAATGCTTTTACCTCTTTTAGCTTTGGCTTGCATGTTGTGTCCCTGAGCGCCTCCCCAGGCACTCCCAGTCTCTGCCTCCTCCGCGGGCTTCTCTGGGCCCGGCAGTTCCTCTCCTCTTCGCTCCTTTCCTCCTGCGGCGTGACTGGAGAGGCTCTGTCCCTCAGGCCCTGCGTCCGCACGTCTGGGCGACCACTGGGCTGAGTGGCTGAAGGTGAGCCTGCGTGCGGCCGCTCAGCGTGGCTCCTCTCCCGCAGCCCTGGGTTGCTTTGCAGGAGTTTCCCAAGAGGCTAGCGGTGCTGTGTTTTGTCCCATCACTGTCTAAGCCACCTGGAGCTGGCAGCACTTCAGCTTCCTCTATGCCAGTGCCCTCCACACCATCCCCTCTTAAAGGAGATGCTTAGCCTTCTCTAGTCAAAGAAAACCAGAAGTTTCAACCTATGAAAATGACAAGTGAGTTGGTTTTTAATTTTTCTTCCAAATGCTCTGGGCTTTGTCAGCACGCCGTACAGCACCACCACCCAGCTATATTCGGTGTGTGAGAAGCTGGGTCCCAGGGCGGCTGGTGCTGGGAGCCGAGTGCCGAGTGTCCCTCCCATGTGTGGTGCTCAGCCGTGGCCCCTGAGAGCCTCAGTGGTCATGAGGCTCAGTCCAGGCCTGCTCAGCCTTGTGCCTGCCCCGCAGCCCACGGCTGTGAGAACAGGGCTGCAGTCCCTCTGCCTGCCGACCTCTGCCAAGGGCACATCGTGTGTTCCAGTGCTGGCAGCATGCATAGTCATTCTGCTCAGAAAGGTGAACAGAGGCCACCAGGCACCAGCTTGGCGCACCCTGCTGGGATTTGGGGGTGCCATTTGGAGCTGGGGTCCCCAGAGCTTGTCCTCCCAGTCACCCTCCCGTCCATGTGCAGGCTTGTGCAGGAGAGCTGTGTGCGTGGTGGAGCTGGCCTGTGTCCTGCTGGTGGGAGCCCACTCTGACCCTGTAGTTTGAGCTGGGAGTCTGATGAAATGGATCTCTCATGCATCTTGTACCTTGGCCTGCTGCAGGGGTGGCTGTGGGTGCTCCCCCTGCACTCCCACGCACATCCTCCAGTCACGTCCTGCATCCTGCACCCGCGGCCTCCTGCTGCAGGTTGTGACCTTGGACTCTGCTGGGGTCAGCACAGTGCTGGGCGCCTGGCACTCGGCCTCTTGTCACGGCCTCTTCTGCCCCTGGAGAATCCTAGTTACCAAGTGTGGTTTGGGACCTTTCCCTGCACTGTCCCTGCTCTCAGGGAGCACGCCCGAGCCCGGAACTGCTTTTGCCTCCTCGGGTCTATGTTGCCTGCTGGCTCTCGACCTCACTGTGAAGGGGTCTCTGTTCACTGCCGGCTGTCCAGGCTTTCCTGGGAGTCCCCAGAAGTGTCCGCTCCCTCCGGCCTCTGGGCCCAGAGCTGCTCATGTGTCTGAGGCTCCGCTCGCGCAGCCCCTGCCTACACTGTTGGTGGCTGGTGGGAGCACTAGGCGCAGCCTGCGCCTTCTACCCCAAGTCCAGGGTCACGTGCTGCCTGGGCTTTCTTCGGGCGCCCCCGCTGCAGGCAGCAGGTGGCTCCCAGCGGTTGCGGGACTGAGGTTCTGTGTCTTGCTGAAGTGCGCTTGGCGCTGCTCACAGCCGCTGGAGGTTCTGAAAGGGAGCGCTCGGGAGCTGCTGTGTCGCAGGTGAGTGAGTGGCAGTGCTGGAAAATGAGTGCCTTTACCTGGGTTGTGGAAGCATTCCTGATTGTTTCCAAGCTTGAGTTGATTGCTTCCTTCCAAGGACCCTAACCCCCTAATTCTGAGTCGGGGCCTTCCAGCCAGCACCTGGAAAGGCAGCGCTGCCCACTGTGGTGCTCCCCTGGTGCAGCGTTCACGGCTCAGCTCCAGCAGCGCAGGACTGGGAGTGTACCCGCTGCCTGCCCTTTGCCAGAGCAGATGCCGAGAGCCCTTCTGCTCAGCATCCAGCAGAGACACAGGCGCCTGCCTTGCATCCTGCCTGGCTCTGTGCCCTGGGAAGTTGTCATCGCCCCTCTTCCCTGCTGGCAGTCTGCAGCCCCAGTCACTGGTCCAGGCCAGGCACCTCCCAGGAAGCCTGCAGCTGCAGGTCCACCTTACCGTGCAGAACCTTGACCTTCGAGGGGCCAGCATGGTTTGCAGCCTGACACGTACACGCTGTTTTTACACATGGGGTACTTGTGTGTGTTTAGGCTTTGCTGTTGCAATAAACTGAAGCAGGAATGAAACTGGATTCATCTGTGTAGGCTCACTTGCCACCTGCTGGCTTCAGACCTCTGCTTGACTCTGCCGCTGGGCCGGCAGGCCCTTCTTGGGTGTTGGCCAGGTCTCTGTCCTGTGCTTGTGTGTCAGTGTCTGCCTTGTAAAGGGTCCTGCCTTTCAACACCCTACAGTCGGCTTTTTTTTTTCCTGTGTGCTCTTTGCAACCACTTCCTTCCCTCCATGTCAGGGGGACTGCACCATCTTGGGCAGTGGGACTGAGGGCCTGAGAGACCACCCGTAGCAATTGGGGGTGTCAGCAGGTGCAGGAAGGACCCCTGGAGCAGAAGATGGGCAGAGGGCCCGACCAGGTGCGCCCCCTGCTGGTGAGGAAGGTGCCTTGGAGTCGAGTGTCCTGCAGCGGGTTCCAGTGGGAGAGGCCTGCTCTTCCTCAGGAATCGGGGAGTTGATATTTGTCATATACAGCACCATTTCTGTTCCATTTGCTTATGACCTATGGAACTGCTCCTGGTTAGTGGTGGAATGTGGTATGAGAGGGCGCATGTGTGCCTGCTGAAATAAACAGCACAGTGATCTTACAGGTACACGTGGAGTATCTGATGAATGCCTACCAGGGTTTTTAAAAGGACAGTTAGATAGCCCCATCACTGTCAGAACAGAGGAGAGCAGTGAGGGCGCCTACTTGTGGTGGCTTACCTGCGGGTCTGGGCCTCGAATGTTGACCCGGCTTGGCGACAGGCAGCATGGCCTTGTGGTGCTCCCACGGAGCTGGGCTGTTGGGAGCACACTCTGTGCTGCCAGCAATGGTGCCAGGAGGTGAGCATGCTGTGTGTGTTTCTGACTCTCTGCGCGGCTCTGTGGGATTGTCAGGATGGACCCGTGCTGTGAGCTCAGCGGCAGCTGTATGAGTTCCTCCTCGTGTCGCCACTTGCAGGAGAAGATCTTGGAGAGCGATGTTCTCTTTGCATCCTTACAAACAGCAGGACATTTGCACTGGACTAAAGCGACCTGCGAACCTGAGAGCAGACTGCACCTGCAGCTCCCTGTGAAGAGCTGGGGTCGGCCACAGCCCACTGGCAGCACGTGTCGTCGTGAGGGTCTCCCTCAGTTACCTGTGTTGGTGGGACGGGTTGTTGGGCACAGACCTCCTGTTCTAGGGGATGAAGGTCACAGAGCTCAGCATGCCCTGGCTGGCTGGCAGTCACAGGTGACCTCGGGCATTTGGGCACACAGATGCTCTTGCCAGGTCGGGCTTGTGGGCTTGAGAGTGCAGTGTCCTGACTTCTGACTTTGAGTGTCCTGATTGCCAGGGCCCTGTCTGTGGTCGTGTGTGGGTGCTGAGTGGGATGTGGAGGGAGGGTTTGCACAGGAGGGACAGGGACAGGGAGCCCGCAGTTCTCCATCAGTCATCCTGCGGGCGGGGGCTTTCTTGCAGCTTGCATCCGCTGCGGCGTGAGGCTCCCACGTGCGTCATTTCCCTGTCCTCATTGACTTTGGGCAGCACCTCCACGCCTGGTATCATCTGGACATTTAATTAATGCCCTGTTTACTGCTCCTTGCAGATCACTAATGAAGACGTTAAGTAAGACCTGCTCCCCAGAGCACCCCGCGCCCCTGCACACTCGTATTTGGTATTCTTCAGTGCGTTTGTTCTCAGGCCCTCCTCCAGGTCGTACCCACGAGGGGGTGCTTATGTGAAACCCGATCTGAGTTAATTTTTCCACTAAGGCTGTAAACAATGGCTGCTGCTTCCTGGCCTGCTCTTCGTTCGCTCTCTGCCTGCACAGCATCCTTAGCTTGGGAGGCGGCCTAGCCAGCAGCCTTGGGATCCCTCGGCGGCTCCTTGTCTGCCACTTGACTGGATGTCTCCTCACCAAGTGCTTGCAGGGCTGTGCCTCTGCATGTGGCTGGTCTTGAGGGCTCCTGAGGACGTCAGTCTGAGCCTTGGGTGCTCCTTCCAAGGCCCCGTCTGCAGGCGTGGGCACCTCCCAGGCTGCTGGGCACCAGGGCTCCTGGCTGTGCAGTTGGGGCACAGTTGAATGCTCAGCAGCCTGGGGTCTGATTTCTGTGTTTCCACCGCGGCCTGAACCTTGGTGGGGTCCTCCCAGCTCACCTGTCACTGCCTGTCCTGGGGTTCTACAGCCCCATCCGCCTGGGCGGCCACACAGGCCCTGGGCTGGCACATGTGTGCCCTG